GCGACTCGTCGCGAAGCAGTTGCGGCAATTTCAGCCAGATTTGACGGCATTGCCTCGAGTTCTCGATTTGAGTGCATTAAACATGCAGTTGCCTGCAGGAACGCCGACCCGCTTGCAGTTGGCATGGTGTGCATTGTGTGGTGCTGATGTCGGCGGCGATCCTCGAAACTTGCGCGCGCATGAAAAACAGGCGCACCCTGAGCGCGGTTGCTTTGCGTGTTCTTCTTGTACGCGGACTTTCTCTTGCAGCGACGACTTGAGAAAGCATTCCAGAAGCACGCAGCATGCGATTCCTGCGGCTTTTGGAAGGTATCTTCGTAACAGTCTCATTGGGGATTGCAGCGATCATGAAATGGAAGATTCCGAAGAGCTGCTACAGCGACCGCTTGCAAAGGAAGGTTCTGTCTCAGAAGTCAGTACGGCTCTTTCGAACGAGAAGGCCGTCTTTATTGTCAAGGGGGAATCAGGAGAACGAGGCGCAACGAAGACGCGATGCGGGCTTTGCCGCTTTGAGTGTTCTGCCAAAGATTTGACTTCCCATGAGGAGAGGGACCACAAGAAAGAAGAGTTCATGTGTCAATCTTGCCACGCGACTTTCACGTGCAGTAAAAATCTACGCAAGCACTCGCGGTCAACATCTCATTCTATTCTTTGCACATTCATGCTCGAGAAAGAAAGGGAGCAGCACAATACAAGCGAGTTTTCGAGCAGGTCCGCCTTGATTGATGCAGACTATACAATGGCACCTGAATGTCTAGATGCCGCAGGGATGGTTGAGCCCGTTCCACAAGCTTCTTCACCGCCGGATGCAATTACGCTTTGGTGGCACGCTGAATCCGGTATCCGTCTCACGGAGCGAATTGGGAACCAGGCAGGTGGGAACAGTGCTCGGTCTTCCCCATCGTGGGCTGATTGCGTCCTTGAAAAGTGGCGTAGTGCGGGTGGACGATATTATTTATGTTGTCCTGCCAACAGCCTCTGGTTCTGGGAGGACGAAGCGGCTGCCAGAGGATGGTGCCGAGAATCTTTACACAAGAGCTAACAAGTTTGTCTCCCATCACAACTCACGAAGCTTGTAGAACTTGTGCTGTTCATTGGAGGCAGCAGTACGGTGCGTGCGAACAAAAAAGAGAAAGAGAGAGAGAGAGAGTTGCTCCTGATCGTGACAGGGGCTAGAGCCAGTTCTCGACCCCTGAAAACCAGGCCTGCGCCGGGCCTCGACCCCCGACGCCGTGAGACGCAGAGCGACGCCGTGAAACGTCGGCGGGAGCCCTGCGACCCCGCCCCGCGGCGTGGTCTCTGCACCGCTCCGCGAGGGCTCCGCGGCCCGAGCCTGGGGCGGCAGCGGCCGCCACGCGCCTTGGCTTTCACCATCGCCGGGATGTGAGCGCCGCTTCGACGAGGCGGTCCCTCCTCCCTCCTCCCTCCTCCCTCCTCCCTCCCTCCCTCCCCCTCTCCTCCCTCCCTCCTCTCCCTCCTTCCCCCTCCTCCCTCCTCCCTCCTCCCTCCTCCCTCCTCCCTCCCTCCTCCCTCCTCCCTCCCTCCTCCTCCCTCCTCCCTTCTCCCTCCTCCCTCCATCCTCCCTCCTCCCTCCCTCCGCCCGCGCCTGGCCCCGCTGGCAGTCGTCACTGCAAGACTCGTCAAAGATAAGCTAACGCTTTTTGTTTTCGGCGCTTGCGCCGTCGGCGCTGCCTCAATGCTGGCATGAGGTGTTTGGCCCACACGCAGGGGTGTCCGAAATCCCCAACAGCGCCTGTAAAGCATTGAAGACGACTGCGTTTTCTGACGAATGCCCGAACTATCGGGTGCTTCCATTTTGATCGGCGTGCTAATCTATTCTTGACGAGGCTTGTACGGCCGCTCCAGCTCCTGTGAGAAGGCCCCTTTTCTCGGGGCGGGGCGCTGGGACGCAGTTCTCTCTGAGCCCGCCAGCAGGCTGTCTGGGGCGGGGGAGCGGGGGCGGGGCTTTGCCCTGTGCGTGCGTCTTCCTGGTGCGGTTCCGGTCTGCCGTGGAGGTCTCCAGCCTCCCGCGTTGGCATGTGCGCCCGCGGCCGCCTGGTGGCGCCCAGTGGCGCCCATCAGCGCCAGTATTTTTGCCGCCCGCCATCGCGGGAACGAAGGGGAGGAGAGGGGGAGCGCTGATGCATCGCTCTCTCGCTTGTGTCTCCGAGGCTCCTCTGTCTGTTCCCTCCCCCCATCCACCTTCAGCTGGACCTCTCGTGTGGGAGCGGGCTGCGACGGTGAGGCAGGACCCCCCCTCCTCCTCCCCACCTTCTCCTCCTCGCCCTCCCCTCCCTCTTCCCCTCCCCCTCCTCTCCCCCCAGAGTTACACAGCATGAATACTTCTCTGCTCTCCGCTGACCTCGAGCCAGCATGCTCTTACCCTTTTCGCGAATGGGCTTCGCACACATGCTGTCACGATGGGGTATTTTCTAGTGTTCTTCAAGCAGGGCGTTCTCGGTCCGTCCAGAATGGCGCTCCGGTTGCAGCGTTGGCCACGCTTCAGGCTTGGTGCTGTACTCGCGCTGCTCAGAACAGCGTTTCCCCCCCAGCGCGGGCCACGTTTCTGGGTCCGATTCCCTCCTCGTTGTCGCCGCCCCCCTCCTTTCCCCTCCTCGGCCTTTCCCTGGTGCGCCTGCTGCTGCTGCTTTTACTTGGTTCTTCTTCTCGTCTTCCCCCTGCTCATCCTCTTGTTCATCAGCCACTTTCTCCTTCCTCCTCCACAACCCCCATCCATTGGCGCATCACGCGGTCGAGTCATTCCTTGGAGCCAGCGAATTCTAGGACACTTCGGTCTGCGTGTAGAACAGAATGCTAGACGCTTCGCGTATCCCTGTTAGCCCGGCCAGATACGATGCCCAGGCGAGCCGAAGACGACGGCGACGATGGCAACGACCAGTCAACCATGAAGCCTTCGCGGAGGTTTCGCTTCACGAGCCTTTTGGAATTCTCCCAGAGGCGTCTTTGAAACCTCTTGGAGCAATATTTGCTCCATTTAAAAAGCTTTTTGGGCTCTCCTGTTGTCCTCTTGTTTTTGTTTTTTTGGGGGGGAGGCGGGGTCTTGGCGCCCTCCGAAGACTGTGCTCTTGGGGTCCCTTGGGACGCTCTAGGGGCGCTCTTGAGCGCTCTTGCGGCCGTCTTGGAGGCCTCTTCAGTCATTTTTGGGGCTCTCTTGGGCCATCCCGGGAGAATCTTGAGGCCTCAGAGGCCCGCGGGAAGCGAAAAGGCGAGAAAAGGTTCTGGAAGGGTGTTAGGGGGGGACCTTGGAAATCTCGGAGGGCACTCGGAACCGTCTTAGGGCTGTCATGTGCTGTCCTGGACATCTGTTGGAGGTATGTCGGACGCTATCGTGAGCCATCTTGACGTATCATGGGCCATCTTGGATGCCATCTGGGGCTGTCTTGGGTCCTCTTGGGCCATCTTGGGCGCTCTAATCGCACGCGCCCCCCCCCCCGTCCAGACCCAGGGGTATGGAGTAGGGAGATGAATCAAGCTACCCCAAGCCGCAAGCAGTGCCGCTCACTCCCACCCGTGCTCCAAACACATAGGCAGCGTCCGAGCTTGGGGCCCCGACACCGCTGAGTCCACGAGTCCCGTCGGAAGCACCGAGCAGAACACACGAGGGGCCCTTCGCCGTCCCTGTCCACATCCTCTGCAAAGGGGCCGTGGGTCGCCCGCGCGTGATCCGGATCTTGCCGCACAGTGCGCCTCGTAGGATTTTTTTGTCAGGGATCGCGAGCCTGCACAGCGCAGTCCATAGGAGGGACCCCCCCCCCGCGCCTCCCCGTTGGCAGACTCCGCGCCGCTGCAGAACTGCTCACAGGGCGCCCGCGCACGGTCCGGGATCCGTCGCCAAGCGTGTGCTCAGCTGTGTGTTGTTGCTGGACTGGGGGTGGCCGGGGGGGGGGGCCCGCACTGTCCTGGGTCTGTCGCCCGTCGGGCGGGGGGAGGGGCTGTGCACCAACAAGGGGACAGAGACGACCCCCTGCCCGAACCGGGGAAGGATGGGGACTCTGGAAGAGAGGAGGGGTCTGTCGCCCGTCGGGCGGGGGGAGGGGCTGTGCACCAACAAGGGGACAGAGACGACCCCCTGCCCGAACCGGGGAAGGATGGGGACTCTGGAAGAGAGGAGGGGTCTGTCGCCCGTCGGGCGGGGGGAGGGGCTGTGCACCAACAAGGGGACAGAGACGACCCCCTGCCCGAACCGGGGAAGGATGGGGACTCTGGAAGAAAGAAGACAAGCATGTGTCATACCACCTCCGCACAAAAGGGCTGGTGGGATTCAGCGCCATGGGAAGGGATGTGTGGGAGGGGTAGGATGCCCCTCCGCAGTATCCCTTTTCCCTCGCCCCCCCCTCTCCCTCCTTCTCTTACCTCCTCACTCCTCCTTTCGTTCCTCTTCTTCTCCCTTCCCCATCCTTCTTCCTCTCCTCTCCGCACCTTCTCTTCCCTATCTGTTCCCTCTTTCCTCCCCCCTTCAGCTCTTTCCACTCCCTTCGCTCTATCTTCCAATCCTCGCTTCGGCCTCTTCCCTCACTCTTTCTCCTCCCTCTTCCCTCCCTCTTATAATTTCCGTATAAACAACTTCTCCCTGGTGTGCTGGTTCTTTCGCTTGGGATTTCCTCACCATGCATGATCCTTAAGCTCAGAATGTGCAACATTTTCGCAGGTGGAGGGCGAGTGGTTTCCAACATGTGGTTCTCGCTTCAGCTCCGCGAACATGCGTTTTAAAGATTTGCAAACATGTGATTGATGGAGGGCGATGAGCGCCGCGAGCGTTCGTCTTACACGTTTGCAAGAGTTTCACGGATGGAGGGCGGGCTGTTTTTTTTGAATGTGGTTCTCGCCTTGCTATTGCGCACATTCGTTCTGAACATGTGCAAGAGCTTCATGGATGGAGGGCGGGTCCTTTTCAAAATGTGGCTCTCGCCTTAGCGCCGCGTGCAAGAGCTTCACGGACGGCCCCACCGCGGGCGTCGCCGGCCGCAGCGCTCTGCGCCCGGCCCCCCGCGCTCGCCCCCCTTGCTGCGCGCCAGCCCCGGCTCCATGGCCGCGTGGCGGCTGGTGCCCCTCGGGTGGCGCGGGCGCGGCTGCACGCTGGCGGACGGCGGCAGCGCGAGCGTCGGCAGGCGGCCGTCTTCCAGCGTGAGGTGCGAGGACCCGCGCGTCAGCGGCGCGCACTGCACCCTGCACAGCGCAGCCCCGGCCTGCGGCGAGGAAGGGCGCGGGCCGACGCTCGAGGTTTGGGGGGTTGCCAACGATGTCCCTGCCCAAGGCGTCCCCAGCTTTTCGCTCCATTCTGGAGCTCCTGGGGCCCTCTGGGCTTCGTGAGGGGTGCTCTGAAGACCGCGGGGGCCTCCCTGGGACTCCTGGGGGCGCCTTGGGCTGCCAGGGACGCCTCCAGCAACACCCGAGAGGTGTGCGACCTCAGCGCGAACGGGACCTACCTGAACGGCGCCAGGATCGGCAGGGGCCAGCGGCGGCTCGCCTCGGATGGCGACGTGCTCTCCCTCGTGGGGCCAGGCGGCCCATCGCGGGACGGCCAGGCACCGGCGATCGGCCTGGGGGACGGTCTCCCAGGCGTCCTCTTTCGCATCGAGCGGGTGGAGGCGGAGCCTTTGCATGCGCGAGCGGAGGCGGAGGCGCCCACAGGCGGCCCGCCGCCAGGCGCGCGGCAGCACGGGGCTGCGCTGGTGGCTGGCCGCTCGCCGTCTCCGCGGCGCTCCAGGTCTCCGCGGCTGCACCGCCCGTCGACAGAGCGAGGGCTCCTCGGTCCTGCGGCCGCCCCTGCTGTCTCGGCGATGGGAGGAGCGGCCGGGCTCCCAGCGTCACCGTGCTGGTCGCCAGTGCCGCGGGCGGTCTCGCCAGACCCCTGCGGCGCCACCAGCGGTCTGGTCTCGGCGGGCGCCAGGTCGCCACCAGACGAAGACTGCGGCGAAGGAACCGCTGACGGCATCCTCGAGAGGCTCATGGCCAGGAGGGCGGCACGCAACGCCCCCGAGCAATCCCTGGCTTCGGCGCCGGCGGAGTCCTCGGCGGCCAGGGCGAAGGCGGCGAGGCTGGAGGCCATCCAAGCCCTGCAGGCGCAGATGGCCCAGCTCACCCGCGTGCGCTCCGCAGCGGAGGCGACCGGCTGGCCAGCGGGCTGCCAGGAGCCACCGCGAGAGCCCCAGCTGCAGCCTTCCGTGGTGGTCCAGGGCGCTGGGCGCAGGCCACGCGTCGGCGGCAAGCGCGGCGGCGGCAAGCGTACCATTCGCGTGCTGGAGCCCACGTGGCTCAGGGCCGACGCCGCGTGTGCGGCGAAGGCCACAGACGTGTGGGAGGAGCATGCCGCCAGAGCGACGGCCGATGCGGCTGCCGCCCTCAGGCGCTGCCGCGGCGCAGGGCCGACCGCAGCCGGTGCCGCGGAGGCAGCCGCCGAGGTCGTCGAGCGGTTGCGCGCCCGCGCCGAGGACGAGCCAGGGCGCCGGGCGTTGATGCGCAGCAGCGGCGCTTGCCCACGGGCCTGGATATTTGAGAAGGGTCGCCGCGCAGTGGCGCCCTCCAAGCGGAGCCGCCAGGGGCTGCTGCCGGCGCGCACTATAGCCAACGAGTTCGAGGCTGCAACCTTCATCCCGTCCAGCGCGCTGGCTGGCCTCCTGGAGGCGGCGCGGCCTGGGCTGCTGGGCGCTTGGCAACGGCTGGAGCCAGACCCCGAGGAAGATGTTGACCGCACGACAGGGGTCAAGGACTTGTCGGCCTGCCTCCAGCTGGCACAGGGCCTCGGCGAAGAGATCGTGGGCACGAGCGTCGGCAGGCTGGCGCGTGCTGGCCTCACAAAGGACTACCCGTTTTACGTCGATGCTGGGTTTGACCATTTTGTGTGTGACGCTTGCGGCTGCTGGGTGGCCCAGAGGAAGGCTGCGCGGCACAATGCACGGTGCCTGGATGACGCTGCCGGCCGCCCACGCACATTCCGGCAGTCCGCCCGCGACGATTTGGGCGTCACGGTGGGCTTCAAGCACAGTGTTGCAGAGCGCTCCGTGCAGCTGCACGTCGACGCGGCGCTCGAGGACGTCGGAGGAAGGAGAAGCGACACAGCCACCAGGGGGCCCACCTCCAGCGAGGAGGTCCACGATGCCTCCCCGAGCTAGGGATGGGAGATGTCTCGAGAGAAGGGGGGTGGTCCGCACCAGGTGGTGGCGGTGGTGGTGTCGCCCTTGTCCTCGTTCCTAGGACGCGGCCCGCCGGGCCCGCTCGTGCTGCTACTGGGAGCCAGACAGCCTCCGCTGCGAGTGGCGGCTGGCGAGACGGCCGGTGCCGGACAGACTCGCGCTGCCCGCTCTGAGCGTTGCAGGGCCGCCAGGCCGCGCGGTCGCTGGGCCCCCCGTGCGCAAGCGCCGCCGCTGCGCGCCGCCCGGCACGGCAGGCGCGGGGCTGGCGGGCGGCGCCGAGGAGGACAGCGAGACCACCGCCTCCGAGGGCGACGCGGTGGTGTGCTCCTCCGGCGAGGGCGGCGCCGACGGCTGGCTGCCAGGCGAGCGAGCCCGCAGCCTCGGCGTCGCCGATGCCCAGGCCACCGAGGCGGCCGCGGCCGCGGCCGCGGCGCCTCCCGCCGACGTTTTCCGGCTGAGGGCCTCGCTGGATTCCGTGCCGGCCCACCAGCCGATCGCCTTCGTGCGGCCGCTGACGCCGGCGCAGCTGCACACGCTGGGCTGGATGCGCCAGCGCGAGGGCGAGGACTCGGGGGAGGAGAGCGAACCAGCGCCACCAAAACTCTCGGAGAAACGATCTGGGCCCAGATAACCGTGGGAAGCGAATAAGACCCCCCCTTCGGGTGAAACGATAACGCAGCCAGCACCCTGAAGCGTTAGCCTGGCACTTGGCGCCCACTGGCCCCTGGAGCTGTCCTGTCACGTGTTCCAGTAAGGACCCCGCTCAGACGCAGCGACGCCATGCGAGCGGAACCACTGGGGCATTCACGCGACTTTTCAATAGGGGCTACGAAGCGTGCGAGAGCTGTGCCGAAATAGGGAATCACAAGACTGCTTGCCGCTCGGGCCCCGCCACCAGCCCAAACAGCGACGTAATTATCCTCGTGCGGCGTCAGGAACGTTAGCGCACCATGGCTTTCATTTCTGCGCGGCAGTACCTGCGGTCGACGGGGGGCAGTAAGTATTTATTTGTTGCGCCTTGGTGCGGTGATAATCACCCCGAAGAATCCGCACCCACTATTAGTTATTATTGCTAATTATTTTGATTATTATCATTATCATTATTCATTTTCGCTTCGGTGCTAACGAGAACCCAGGGGGGGTTCTCAATCGCTTCCTCTAGTTATTGGTGGATATTCTAGACGCTTCGTGTAACCTCATCAGCCCATCCAGAAACGATGCCCAGGCGAGTTGCCCTGATCAGGCATGTGGGGGAGCACGTAGTGAAATTATAGCCGGAGTGCAGTATCCCCAAACAGGGTTTTTAAACCCACTGCGGTTTCCAAGGTCGAATTGCGTGCCCGTCCAGTGCGGGCTGGAATGGCATGTTAAAACATGCCTCCTCCTCCTCCTCCTCCTCCACCTCCTCTCCACCCCGAACGGCATCTCGGAGCCCAGAGTTGCGAGGATGTCTCCAGCGTAACGGGCTGAACCACCTCGCGCGCGGCATCTCGGACCCCAGAGTTGCGACGATGTCTCTGGCGAACCGTGCTGCGAGGAAGTCTCAGGCGAAACGGGCCGGACCACCTCGAGCGCGGCGTCTCAGAGCTCCGAGTTGCGGAGGCCTCCTGGGGCCTCCTGGGACCTCCTGGTGACCTCCTGGGGCTTCCTCCTGGGCCTCCTGTGGCCTCCTGGACCCCACCTGGGGCTTCCTGAAGCCTCTTGGGGCTCCCAGGGGGGGATATCTAACATGTGGCCGTCGGGGCCTCCCAAAATGGGGGGGGTCCACAAGAGCAGGAAAAATCAACGAATCGACACCGGATGTGTATTAACTTGACACGTTCTGATAGGGGGCCTCCTGGGGCCTCCTGGGAGCCTCCTGGGAATCTCCTGCGGACCCCTGGGGCCTGTCCTGGGCGTCCTGCGGCCTCCTGAAGCTCTCTGGGGCCTCCTGGGGCTCCCAGGGTCCCAGGGGGGACATGTAACATGTGGTCTTCTGGGCCCCCAGGCTGGACCACCTCTTGCGCAGCATCTGAGAGCTCAGAAGTGCGAGAATGTCTTGTGCGAAACGGGCCAGACCACCTTGCGCACGGCATCTCAGAGCTCAGAGTTGCGAGGATGTCTCAGGCGAGACGGGCCAGACCACCTCGCGCAGGGCATCTCGGAGCCCAGAGTTGCGAGGATGTCTCCAGCGTAACGAGCCAGACCACCTCGCGCGCGGCATCTCGGACCCCAGAGTTGCGACGATGTCTCGGGCGAAACGTGCTTCGAGGAAGTCTCAGGCGGAACGGGCCAGACTACCTCGAGCGCGGCGTCTCAGAGCTCCGAGTTGCGGGGGCCTCCTGGGGCCTCCCGGGGCGCTGGCCCGCAAGGCTGGCCTTGCCGACCTGCCCCGGCAGAGAAGGGCAGCGGGCCTGGGGCGTCCCGTCTGGATCCTAGAACGGGGGCGGGACACGCCACAGGTACTGCGGGATCATGGTTGCGACGTCCTCCGCAACGCTGACTTCAGCAGCGCAGTTCGGTTGTTATCGGATCCCACGTTTTCAGATTATTAACTACTGCATGCTGTGGATCACGTGCGACGCGAACAAGGGCGGGGTTCACCATGTCCTCGACTCGCTGCCCAGTTGATGTGCCCGCGTCGAGGACGTCACCAGGATCGTGATTTTCGACATCCACGGTCCACAGTGGAATCGTCCCCGCTGTGAAGCAGATGACCGACACGTGCGTGCTCTATTCCAGCAAGCACAGAGCATGCCACAAGATTCTAGTACATGGGGCTTAGCACATCAGGATCTCCTTCGCGATGCTCACACGTGCCCCTGCACCCAACCAGCTGTGCAAGTGCGGCATCAAGCTGGATTGGGCACAACGACGACTGGACGATCGCGAACCGACGGCTGCACTTCGCCCTGATTTGCCGCGAGGTGTTACGTCTTGCGCCCTACTGCGGTCGTACTTCAATGAGCAGCGGTGCGCCGAGGAGAGCACGCCATCGACTGGGCATGCGCAGCCCCAAACAGCACATTCAGGACTCCAAGCAGCGCGCTCTGGACCCCTGCATAGGATTCGAGGAGAGTGCGATTTGGGGACATCTACGACACCAGACAAACGTGTCATTTGTATTCGCCACAGTCGCCGCAGGCAGCGCGCCATTGGAATTTGCCACATGCAGCGTGCCACTTGAACCCACCGCAGGCATTTCTGCCGACAGAATGCACTCCATCCGTTGCTGGTGCTCGACAGTCACGGGAGGCGTCTGGCATCTATGTAGCCGGTACCGACCCTGCTGCCGAACAGGCGGATAAAGGGATATTCTGTTGCCAATCTTGATCCCGCTATCGAAGGGAAGGTATCCAGTAACTGTGCCGCCAGTGCCTATCCCACAGCAGAGTGCAGACGTCAGGGGAAGAAAATGAGGGATGGTCGTGGAGAACCGCTACGACGACTGCGGCTCAGACCTCACGGGCCGCTCACCTTACCTTCTTGGCATGCCTGCGATTGGCGAGCGGGTCTGCGACGACGAATGAGACGAGGACGAACTCCGCGGTAACCTCGCTTCAGGTTTGCCTGCGCGGTGGTTCGCAGGATGGTCGGCCTCGGCATCAGATTGCCACGAGAAGAGTGCTGAGACGACATCACAGCACACCAAGTTCGACACACTTTACCATCCCCTCGTCCTATTACACTGGACCATGGCGTCGACATCATTGTGGTTTATGGCGGGAGGCTAGGACTAGCCAGCTTGCTTCCGACGACACCTCAGGGCGGGTGAGAATTTTGACTTGGTCATTGGTTGTGATCTCAACAACAAAGGCCAACAACGATCAGTGGAGCGGCGCATGCGACAGCGCCGACCCCTAATGCCCAGCATGGCCCCCGCATGCCGGCCATGCGGTCGTTCGGCGACGTGAAACTGCAAGCTGAAACACGACGTGTGGCTACGCTCCTACCCGCACGCGGCACCACACGGACGGTTTTGCGGCCACGTAGCACGATTACAGTTGGAGTTGGGCAACTATTTCGCCAACGAACAACCCGAACCGTCGTGGCTGTACTGTTGCCCGCAGTGACCAGACGCGCTTGTAGCACCAGGCGTGGACGAGGTCATCTTCGACCAGTGCATGCTCGGACGCTGTGATTGGCATGGTGGTATCTTGTTGAAGTCCAAGGGTTTTGTCACCAACGTCCCGGCGATCGACGAACAGTTCGGCAACTTCAAGTGCCCGAGCAAGCACCGGCCGCGTCGAGGGCAACAACAGCTTCGACGCCCAAGTTTGGCCATGGAACATGGCCGAAGGACAAGCGCAATCTATCGTTGATTTACTTCGCCGCCGTAGGCGCTCGAACAAGACGAACTATGTTCGTGAGTGCGACGTCGCTAATGCAGCCTTTCCAGCAGTGGCGTCTGGGGCCACGGAGGAGCTCATGGATTTAGATGGCTGCCGAGCGCGCGCGCTACGCGTGCAAGGCGTGCAGGCGCAAAGTACGGGCGGACTCACCCATGCACTCCACAGGTCCCACCGCGCGCCGATGCCCTCATACTGCTCCTATCAACTCGGAGTGCTCAGGCTGCCGCGAGGAAAAGGAGCGCGATCACCCTGCGCGCGCACGTGAGATCAGCAAGCGAAGGTTCGCGGACCCTCGCATCAGGCCGCGCCCACGCGCCGGCCAGCATCCTGGTTCACCAGCATGGCCTGGAGGACGACATCACTCCATCGACCAACAAGTTCAGCTACCAGGAGGAGCCGTCTTGGGAGTAGCTCGCGAAGCCGCTCTACCACCTCCTGTCAAGTACACCAGGAGCTAGCTCTTCATCCAGTGCTGGGGCTCCGGGCTGCGGTTCTGGCGACTGTGTTACTGGGCCGCAGGGCTCGGGCATGGGTGACTACGTCACCAGACCGGGACTGCGGGCCAGCCCATTTGCAGGGAACGCGCCGAGACGAACAGCACTACGGGCCATCGACGCATCGGTTGGCAATCCGACTCCTTCGGCTGGACTCGCATGAGACGAGGGTGCGAGAGATGCGCAAGTTGCACCTCCGGGAGTGGCGCGCCACTGCGACCCACGCAAGTGGCAAACACCGGCACGCCAAATGATCGCTACACTACGGCGAGTGCGGTGTGCCTCCACCGAGGGAAGAAGATCCCGATCTCGATGATGGTGGTAATATCATGGCTTCAAGGTGGCCGAAAGATTATCATTAACACCGAAACCTAGGAGCATCTTCCCCCTGTGGAGGCAACCCGCTGTGTTGGTGTTGGTGCCCAAATCCAGGCCTCCAAGGATCGCGTGATCTTATAGCTGATCTGCTGCGCCTCACGTTGGCACAACGCCTGCGATATCGATTCTAAACGCGACTCGATGCTGCTCGCAGCCATCGACCGATCATGGATATTGTCGGTGCGATGGAGACGTCTATCGTGCGCGGACAGGTGGTATGACCTCAACCAACATCGTGGAGGAAATAAGGAGGCGATGGGGTCCAGGTGGAAATTCGTGCCCAGCGACAGCACGGTCGCCTCATCGAGCGACGCGGCGCAATGCTACGACATGCACTTCGCGCCGCAGAGGAGGAGCTAGAGCGAGAAGGTATTGTGGCTTACTTCGATTCTATGATTGCTCACGGCGTACTTGCAGGCAGCAGCCTCACCCATGATGGCGGCGTCACGCCATGCAGCATTGTTTATGGAAGGCAGCCGTTTATGCTGCCACCGCTGGACGCAGACGAACCGGGGAAGGTGTCTGGCGGCTAATTATGTCGCTGTCGCCGATCTCTGCCGGTGGGGAAGTGCAGCCCAGCCGATTGCAGTTGCGGATCAGAGAGATCGCGCTGCAATGCGTGATTGGGGCTGCCAGGCTACGTCCATCTGCCGCGTCAGCCGCGCTCTCCGGACACGCGCCACCGAGTCCGGCGAGGGCCGCTTGAACGTTGGCGACCAGGTGGAGACGCGCAGGCCTCCGAGCAAAAGGGACGTATCAGGCTGGGCGGGCCCTGGAACTGTCTGTCGATACTGCTCGAGGAAAGGTAACGGTCAAGTTCTGTCGGGCCGACGGGGTCTGCGGACTGCAGGACGTCAGGTCTGCATTGGTGCCGTCTTCGATGACGTGGGCACTGGCCTGGCTGGGGCCAGCCTGGCCTGGGGCCGAGTTGAGGGCTTCATCGAGCACATCATGCCAGTCTCTGGCACCAGGTCCTTCGGCCATTTGGAGGACGCGGGGACCGCGCCGATGACCGCGCAGACGCGGCGACGCCCAGACATGTTCGAAGCTCCTATGCCATGTGTCCCCCAGATGCTTCCTGCTACCAGACGTTCGTACCGCCTGCGCAGCCAGAGAAATGTGTGGGAGATCTGCCTGGCTGCGCCCGCAGCCTGGACATCTGGTTGGCGCCCTCGGAGTCTGGGCGATGCCCAGCAGATTCACATGGACGGCGTGAAGTTCGACGCCCACGCGCTTATCGGCGAGCAGTGGAAGGGCGCTTGCGTCATACAGTTAGTTCATTCTGGGTGACGAGACGCTTGTGGCAGCGGACGCCAGGCAGGATCCATATGGGGTGTGTGATGACCGTTTGGCGCTCCTGAGGACGCTGTCAGCACCACTCAGGGAGGATCGCCGTCAGCACAGTCGGCCGTGCCAGAGGAGACCAGCAGCGACATCTCCGGCCACATCCAGCAGGTGATGTGGGCTGTGTGGCATGATGTCGAAGGGGCAGCGGACCTGGCCCAGGAGTTGGAGGCGCTCGGGCGATGACGGCCAGCTGATGGTCTACGCTGCTGTCGAGCACGCTGCGGTCGGTCTCGGCCGCCGGCCACGTGAGTGGCCCCAGCACCTCAAGGCGCAACGCCCGCGTCGAGGCATTTACGCGCAGTGCCACCATTGCCTGCGCGGTGCCGCCCCGGACGACCACGTCGCGCTAGAGGCGGGGGATGAACGAGGAGGACACGTGGAGTTGTACCTCGACCCAGGCGTGCGCGAAGCATTCCTGAGCTTCAACGAGGAAGCGTCCAGCAACTGTGTTGCGAGCGCGTCGTACGCAGCCGCGCTTAACGCGTGCGCCGCCGTCAAGACCGTGGTCATCAAGCGCGACGCCGACCTCTTGACCGCGGAAGAGGCGTCCAGGCTGTCCAGGGAGGTGTCCGCCGCCATCCTCGAGGAGCAGATCGCCATCTGGGTGAAATCCAAATTTGTCGAACGGCGACCATTCAAGGGGGCCCGAAACGTCGTGGACTCCAGGCCTGTCTTCAAGTGGAAGCGCCGGGAGGGTGCCGACGGCAGGACTGCGCGGATCATCCGGTGCCGCGCGGCGCTCAGAGGCGTCCGCGGTATGGGCGCCAGCGCCCTGGAGAAGATCGCGGGAGCAGCCAAGCGCGCCTCGCGGCGCATCCTGCCCTCGGAGGCGGCGCGCCACCTGGGCTGGGTCTACTACGTCGCCGTGGACGTCGAGAAGGCATTCCGGCAGGATTCCGGCAGGACACGACGTGCGCCGAGATGCAGGAAGAAGGTGAAGCACCGCGCGAGGTGCATTTTACCCTGCCGCCCGGCCGCGCAGCTATCCTCAGGCAGGTGCCCGGGTATGAGTCTTCGACGAGAGGGCCGAGTGCCTGCGCTGCATCGAGTTGGTGACGGACTGCAAGGACGCACCCCTCGCCTTCTCCAAGGAACTCGCCCGCGTCAAACCCGCCAGGTGGGGCCCGGAGCTCGAGGTCAAGCATCAGGCGTCCGGCAATTGTGTTGCTGTGGCTCAAAAGCTCGTGCTCATGTTGTCCAAGCGCGTTGACGATCGGAAAATCGCTGGACGAAAGGAGCCCGCCCATTAGCTCATCGGCCACGTCGAGAGCGTCTTCGGTAAGGTAAAGGGGGACTACTTCACCAACTGCACAGTCCACCAGCACCGCGGCCCCGACGGGGCCGCGACGCTCGACCAGGACGAGTGCATCGAGGCCCCGTTGCCCAGCGGGCGCGTCGACCTGGTCGAGTCGAAGGCCGACGGGCCCGCAGGAGGTCGACTGCCCGACCTCTTCGTATCTTTGCTGGGGGCAGCTAATTGCGCCCTGCTCACCCTGCGCCGCTTCGCAGCGCGCATCGCGGCGCTCCAACGGGCCAGGAACAAGCTGATTATGCGACGCGTTATGCGTTATGCAGCTCAATTTTGTGGTCCTCGCCGCGCAGAAGTGCGCTGGCCAGATCTGCGCGCGCACCGACGGGTCCTTCAAGAGGGGGGGGGAGACAGGACGCAGCATGAGGGGAGCCGTCTACATGCGCTTAGGCAAGTGTCGCAGCGCCGTCAAGGAGGTCTGCCACTTGCTCGATGCCTTGAGCCGATCACGCAAGCTTGTGCGTAGGTTTTCGGTCGGCTCTGAGCTGCTCGCGGCGCGCGGTGCAGCTGGCAATTTGCAGGCCCACCTCCTCGCGCCCCACGAGATGATCTGGGGCCCAGTGCCTGCCGAGGAGATCAAGAGGCTGAGGGCGGAAGGAGGTTACTCTGTTCCCGCGACCCTGGTCGTGGACGGCGCGTCTGTCTTCGCGGCCATCGCCGCGGACCTTGCGCGCTCATCATTAGGGCGCAGCACGGCAGGCCACCCGCGGTGGCTCTTCGACCGGCTCCGTACCAAGCAGATCACCGACAACTCGTGACATGATGGCCGACCCCATGACGAGGAGCTGATCTTGGACGGTCAAGCACGACCAGTCCGCGGTCTGACTGAGCGACGCGAGGCGCAATGATACCGGGCGTTGCCCCCAGCGCAGCGACCCCAGAGCGGCGGAGGAAAGTGCATCGCCCGCGCAATGAGCAGCCGGCAGGTTCAATGCATGCATGTCGGCAGCAAGAGACTTCATCAGCGGTCGCATGTCAGATCTGAGAAGAGACGGCCGCATAGGCGAACTATGTTCGCCAATGCGACTTTTTGGTACATCCATGAAGGGCTGTCTCTGCGAACTGTGTTCGTGGGGCAGCAGCGTCTGTTGTGTAGCGCGCTCATTATCTTCAGTGCTCCTCCAAATCGTCTGCTCCCGTCGTCCTCGTGAAACTTTTGATGGGGGACCTGGGTAGTACAAGGTTCCTTCAGTGACTTGCCTCATTTGGCTGGGATGACTTACCCTGCTCTGGCTAGTCTCATGGGCTCTGTCGGGGGTACTTCCATCCCGTCCACTGGCGCCGTAAAAGGTTTCTGCGGTTGGCGCCGTGGAGCCACAGGGCCTTGGGATGGAGTGAAACCCCACGACCCCGGTCGGAATCGGGCGAACGCATCCTTCTGCAACTATTGGTTGCAGTAGGGCTTGCATGCTGTAGCCGACTGGGCACAGGCAGAATCGCTTGAATACCAAAATCCAGCGGTCGTTTACCTATCCTGCCTGGTTTAACGTTCTCCCTATGCCGCCGCCGTCTCGGTCCATGGGCGCGGTAGGGCGTCCACCCTCCGTGCCCACATCCCGTGTTGACGTCCGTTCGGGACAAAAAGTTTCTACGCCTTAATCTCTGTTTTCGTAGTTCCACATTCCCGGCGAGGCTGCGAGGTCATATCCACCCCCATTCGGATTCAAAGTGTGGGCTGTGGAGGCTTGGTGGTGCTGTCCAGTATCCATCTCCCTGAGGACGCTGGCTACTCCAGCACGCAGACGCTTCGGCAGCCGCTGGCGGAGACGGACGTGTGCGTCGAGGCCCCATCATCGTCCTCTCCTCCCTTGTCCATTGGTGCGCCTCCCCCTCCCCGACTGGGGCCTCCCAGCTGCCCCTCCTCCCCTTTTTTTACGTGGGCCACACACAAGCATCGAGGCTATAACCATCCCCCCGCATCCCCTGTCCGTCCTTCCCTCCCACCTCCCTTCCTTTCCCTTCCCTTCCCTTCCCACGCCTTTTGGCCCGCCCCTCCCGTTTTTGGGTTTTATTTTGTGTGTGTGTGAGAGTGAGTGAGTGAGTGAGTGAGTGAGTGAGTGAGTGAGTGAGTGAGTGAGTGTGTGTGTGTGTTGTTCTCTCTCTCTCTCTCTCTTTTTCTCTCTGTCTCTCTCTCTCTCTCTTTGGGCCTCCACGGGATGAGTATCCTTGGGGATGGGAGGCTTCGACCGTGACCACGGCACATCGCCCGTGGCATCGTCCCACCACTTCTGTCCCCCATCCCGTACCTGCCATTAGGTTCACGGAAGGACGAGAGGAGGAGGAGAAGGAGGAGGAGAAATAGGAGGAGGAGGAGGAGGAGGTGGAGGAGCACGACGAGAAGGAGGAGGAGAAGGAGGAGGAGGGGGGGAGGAGGAAGAGGAGGAGGAGGAGGAGGAGGAGGAGGAGGAGGAGGAAAAGGAGGAGGAGGAGGAGGGGAGGAGAGGAGGAGGAGGAGAGGAGGAGAGGTGGAGGAGGAGGAGGAGGAGGAGGAGGAGGGAGAGGATGGAGGGAGGGAGGGAAGGAAGGAAGGAAGGAGGGAAGGGGGGAGGGGGAGGGGGGGAGGGGGGGAGGGGGGGGGAGGGGGGAGGGAGGGAGGGGAGGAGGGAAGGAAAGAAGGAAAGAAGGAAAGAAGGAAGGAAGGAAGGAAGGAAGGCAGGAAGGAAGGCAGGAAGGCAGGGAGGAGGGAGGAGGAGGAGGAGGAGGAGGAGGAGGAGGAGGAGGAGGAGGCGGAATGCGAGTAATGCGTGAATGACAACGCCGCAGGGCGCAGCCGACAGGCAGCTCAGCCGTGCTACAAGTCGCCCTGCACAACGCAGTCTGGGATCCCCTGGCTGTGTTGCGACCGCTGGCAGCACTACGGAGGTCCAACGCGCAGTGCCGACTCCTCCGACTGGGCCCGGCCAGCGGCGGATTCTCGATGTCGGGCGGGCCCTCCTGTCCCAGATCAAGCGGCAGAAGCATGCCATGCCGGCACGACCGAGCAGGATGGGAGGAGGAGACGAGGCGGGCGCAGTCAGCGGCATCGTTCGCGTCCCTTTCGCCCGCAGCTCCCACCGACCCCCGCGCGGCCGCGGGTCCTCTCCTCCTCTCACTCACCACCCACCAAACCACCCCAACCCAACCCGAAGGCCGCAATTTGCCCTCCATTTCCAGTGGCGGAGGGATCGGGGAACATCGAGAGACCACATATGGAGCCCACACCCCCCCCGAACCCGAAATTCGGGCCTTCGGGTTAGGTTGGAGTGGTCTGGTAGGTAGTGACTCACTGGGCGGCTCGAGGGGTGGCCCGCGGGCCCGCGGGCTCGGGAGCCCCGCGGGCGCCAGGAGCGCCAGGGGGCGCAGGGGCGCGGGCACGTCCGGGCCAGGCCCCGCTGCGGAACGCGCTGAGCAGTCAGCGCCGTGGGTTTGCCTCTATTCGGCGTCACCCCAGCATACTTATACTGTGTGTCCGTCGCCCCCCCACGGGCGGCGCCCGCACCGAGAAACCTTACCGCATATGCGTCGTGGCGGGCGCTTTCTGGCCACACCGCTCGGGAAACGATCTACTACAAGATTGGTATACTATAGGTTCGGGTCGGACGCGCATCTCCAAGGAGGACATATCGTGTCAGTATGTCTCTGTGCGTCCCATCCATGCCGACGCGCTTACCGACCCGATGGCTCGCTGCCGGGTCGACGTGCCCAGCCGCGCGTCGGCACCCCTGCTGGGTCGACGAGCGCTTTCGACAGGCTTTTGCTCTCGGGCACGGGCTCGGTCCTGCGACCGGTGGCAGCACGGATCTGTCGCCGTGGCCCGGTCGGTCTCGGAGCCCATGTCAGTGGTCATGCCAATGCTCAACTTTGGTTTTGGTTCGCCTTGAACTTGAGGGGGGAACCTTGGGTCTGCGGCCTAGAGGGTTACAGGTGTATGGCGAGCTTGCAGTAGATGTGTTTCCTCTGAGACGGACACAAGGCGCAGCAAGCCCGAGTGAAGGGCAGCGTGCCTTCGTTAGGTGGTCCCCCCAGGCGTCGGACAATGGCTTGTAGTACGTACTGGTCGGAGCAAGTGCCAGAGGAGTGCTACTACCTGCCATGCTATCTGCCGCATTGTGGGACAAGGACTAGAAATTGCGCGCGTTGGCGCTGGCCCAGTATCGCGGCTGGTGGCTCAGGCCAGCCATGATGCCGCGGCCAGCGGGCAATGCAGCCGTGAGGAGCATGATGATGAGGAGGGGCGTGCCCAGCCTTGTCACGCACCAGCTCCAGGGCGGCAGCCGAATGGCGGGCTGGGATCTGCTTTTGTTCTCGCCGTCTTTTCCCCTCCCTCCAAAAGCTCTCCAGGATCAGGGGGTCAAGCAGAAATGCATGTCTGGATTCATCGAATATTGGAACAACAAACAGCAATGCGAATCCATCCATGCGAAAGCCAGGACGATCGCGTCGTGCATGTTGCAATCAGCCACAGAAAATATACTGGCTCTCGCCGCAACCCCGCACCAACCATGGATCACGCAGCGGACGTTGCAATTTGTCGAGCAAAGGAACCTTTGTAGACAGCGCAATTGCGACAATGAAAAGGTCAGAAGACTGAACAAACAAATCCAATCTTCGGCACGGGCGGACCGAAAGAAATGGCTGGAATATTCAATCGAACGCGATGGATGGGAAGCGATTCGGTCTCTGAGGAAAGGCCGGTCTACGCAGCATGGGCGGCTTAGAAACCTCCAGGGGGACCTCGTGGACGCCGAGTTCAAGGCAGAAACCATGGCCGACTACTTGGAGAAATGGAAACTTGTTCAAGATTCTGGAGAATTTCCAAACATGCAGCAGGAAGGTGGGTTTCTCAATATCAAGACATTACATATCAGTGGATTAATTACGTCGCGCAGTCAAGTCTCTCAAAGGAGGAAGGCAGTTGGCAATGACGCGTGCCGCCGAATCTGTGGCAAGTTCTGGCAAAGTGATGCGGCACTTGGGATTCTCTTGGACCTAGGCAATATATGTTGGCAACAGAAAGACATGCCCGAGGAATGGCGGGAAGCGTCTATCGTTACTATTTCCAAAAAAAAAGACACTTCACAGCCTAGCAACTACAGACCAGTCTCGCTTCTGGATGTTGGATACAAAGTAATGGCAAGTATTATTCTGCAGAGGTTAGAACATGGTGGGGCGGAGAAATCTTTAAGAGACTCTCAGTATGGATTCCGCCATGGACGAGGCACGACTGACGCTCTGTTCTTGGCGCGCAAGCTCATCGACGCAATTTTGGAAGATAAAGAAAGGAGCTTGTTGCTATTTCTACTCGACGGGAGTAAAGCGTTCGACAGAATCAAGCCAGAAGGCTTGATGTTTGCTCTCCGCCAATTCCGCGTGCCCCCGGCCATGGTCGACATGGTGTAGGCGATCTACCGGACCAGAAAGTTCATTGTCAAGGATGGGAATACAGCCACCACTGCCAGAGTCCAGGCTGCGGGTATAGCGCAAGGATGCCCACTATCACCATATTTACTGATCATCGTCAGGTCGGTGCTTCTGGAGGCGGTGGACAAAAAGCTGGAGAGGTCTGCTTACGACAATGAAAGTCGGTGGTTACAAAAGATGTGTTATATGCCGACGACACGATGCTCGTAGCCACAAGCCCGGCAGCTCTTCAACTTCATCTGGATGCTATTATACAAGCCGGGAAAGCATGTGGTCTCGAGCTCAACGCGTCGAAAACAATATTTTTCATAATCCGTTCAGAAGCAAATTTTGCAGGCCCGGATGGCAACCCGATCGCGTGCAAGGACCGCGCAGTGTATCTTAGAGGATTGTTGAGCGCTTGCGGCAACCCAAGAACTGAGGCAACACGAAGGCTTGGGGAAGCCAAAGGGGCATGCGAAACAAATTGTACAGCATGGAATCACGCCAACATGAGTTAACATCATAACACCAAGGTGTTGGACGTCTGTATATGTTCGAAGCTTTTGCTTCGGCGGGAAAATTGTATGTTATTGAAAGCAGACGGGGACAGACTGGACAGTTTTGAAGCAAAGTGCCTCCGACGTATCCACCAAATTCCGCCTGCGTGCTTCTCACGAATAAGCAATGCGACAGTGAGATCAACGGCGAACGTCAGACCATTTTCCGTACTTCTTCTACGACGCCAATTGCAATGTTATGGTAAACTGGCAGCATCCTGTCCAGACAGCCTTCCATGGAGCACGGTGTTCGAGACGGGAGTGGCAGACGACGCGCGGCCGAGAGATTGGGCCAGTGCTCGCGCCAGGGGGCGCCCGCGCCTGCAATGGACGAAGTATATGCGTGCGAGGGCTCTACAGGCAGCGGGAAGTGACCCAGATCGCTTGCAATTTCTGTTGCAAAGAGCCCCAGTTGAGTGCCGCAAGGCCGTAGAATAATACTGTCGATCGTTTCTCTCCTCTCCCCGCCTCCCCTCCCTCGTCCTGCTGATCTCTGCTTCAAGCCGCTCCCCCTTCCTCGTGTACAGCTGCGGCTGTCCCTCGCGATGCTCTGGAACGAAAGGTCCGGCGTATGCCCACCGAGGCACTGCGTTTGCGCGCATATCTTCCTGCATGTGTTCAGGTATGTCTTCGGCATGTTATTATCTGCTGATGCGCCGTCAGGGCGCGGCTCTTGCCTGCCTGCCTGCCCGCCTGCCTGCCTGCGTGCCTCCAAAAGCTCCTGTGCCCTTCCGTGCGGTGCGCGGCGCTCGGCGGCGCGCCCGTCGAGACGCGTTCGGCTGACGCCGCCGAGTCGGTCGATAGCATGTCGGAGGAGGGGGAGGAGGAGGAGGAGGAGGAGGAGG